AACAAAAATGTGAACAGCAAATCAGCCAGACTATTGTTACTTGACGCTGAAGTTTTAGTTCCACAACTATTTAACCTTGCTATATTCCCTGACAGTTCAGATACTGCATTGACCCATTGCAGAGCAACCTACTCCTTTAGTCAAAAAGATCTCCAAATTGGTCTTTCACTAGTGTTTTTCTTGTACTCTTACAACAGGTTGAAAGGTTTTCCATTTAAGAAAAGAGAGGAAATAGCCCTTAGGGCAGAGTTTTTTGAACACTCTGTAATTTTCTGATTCTCTTTTTACTAACTGCAGCTAGAAAGGGAATTGACTTTTGAAAACTTGTCTGAATGGACCAGCCCAGAACTAATGGAGAAAGTGAAAATGGAGGTTTATCTGCCCAGGTTCACGTTAGAAGAGAAATATGACCTCAAGTCTACTTTGAGCAAGATGGGGATACAAGATGCCTTCACTGAAGGTCAAGCTGATTTTACGGCAATGTCAGAGAATGGTGACCTGTTTTTGTCACAAGTTTTTCACAAGTGTTATCTGGAAGTCAATGAAGAAGGCACAGAGGCGGCAGCTGCCAGTTCAGCAACAGTGGCATCACGAAGTCTTGGTGCTGCTGTTATTTTTGTGGCAGATCACCCTTTCCTCTTTTTCATCAGGCACAACAAGACCAAGAGTATCCTCTTCTTGGGAAGGTTCTCTTCCCCCTAGGAACTCAGCCTTTACTAAACAGGCTTTTGCAACAACAATAATGAACAAAATACACACCATGAAGAGCATCTCAATAGTCTGTGCACTTCTTAATTTTCCTGTACTGTTGACAAATCTCTCAGTGTTAGAAGACAGCACATATTAAAAATAACCTGGAATTCGTGCCTCTGGCTCATTTTACTGGCCAAAACCACCAAGAATAGTAGCATTACACTATAAGCACCAAACTGTGCATAGAGCGACTCTGATGAGTCTCTTCAGCGCTTTCTGAACCAGAACTGCCACAATGCAGAAGAGACTAAGTTGATCTAAACCAGTAATACCCAACACACTTGCTTTGGTACATAAGAAGAAAAGAAACAGGAAAAATTCTGTCTGCAGAATGCTACTACATCTCCATTGGCTTCAGCTCACTCAGCTGGTCACCCCTGGAAGGGTCCATACCTCACCTCCATTCTTGTCAGTTTTATACCAACTTTGCTGGCACAGCTGGTAATGAAATAAACTGCTTTACTCTCAGTTCGCTTTGTCGCTTATTTCACTGGTTTGAGGCAAGATCGAATTGGAGAATCAAGCCTGTAATATTAACTCCCTAAGTGCCTTCTGGAAGATGACATGCAAATCCCCTAATACACATTTACTCCTGTCACAGCTCTTTCTCCTAAGGAGGAGAGTGTCCTAATCAGTCATGCACATTTGCAGGGGATGCTCCTACCTCTGAATTCAGAGCAGAGAGCAAAGGACTGGGTCTCTTTACAGGACTTGCACACACCACCGGCATCTTACTTGAAATATCTCTTCTTGGGATGGCAGAACTCCTTTTTCTTAAAGACAGAGAGTAGACTGCTAACTGTCACTAAATCCTTTCTGTTTTCTTCCATGTGACCAGCTGGTTCCAAGGTCCCTCTGGCTCTGCTTCCAAAATGGGAAGGAGCATAGAAAGAATGTTGTGAAGGAAGCGCTTTATTGTACCCTTGTACAATCTCAACAGCACTGCCTTCTGTCTGACTCAGCTGTGAAACATGACACAGGGTCCTTGTGCACTCAGATGCAATTCTGCCATGCCCTGTTTCACCTAATGCAAGGGCTTCACCTCCCCATAGCCAAGCCCCTTAAGCACTTCCTGATGCGCCTCAGGAATAAAGACAGGAAAGCTACCTCTGGGAGGCCAAGGAAAAACAAAACCATGACTACATGCATCCAAACTCACTCACAGGCCTTTAAATTCAATGGAAATGTCAGTCATCTTTTCTTTCTCCTTCAACTATTTTAAGCGTGATTGCAAAGATGACAGAGTTAATGTCCTTTTGGCAGCACCAGATCATTAACAACTGGCAGGGGCCACAAAACTTGGAAGGTGAGTTGCCTATTAGAGAACAACCTTACCCCAGGGTGAGCAGCACAGCACTGGAGAAGGTTGCCCAGGAAGGCTGGGGAATCTCTATCCTTGGAAGCGTTGTGGCTGACTTTATCTACGATGGCTCTGATCCAAGCAAGAGGTTGACTTGTGGATGTCCCTTTCAATTAACATGTGTGATCTTCTCTCTTGACAACACCCACTCTGCCTTGCCGCCTCCCTTTCTCATCTTCACTGGCATCCTTGCATCTTGACTAGCAAAGGGAGCTAGCTTGCTCATTCTCAGCATAATTCTTTGGGACGTGGAGGCTCCTGGCTTGGGCTTTCCCACCACCCAACCATTCAGCTGATCTTTCTCCTATCCTGATTTCTTGATGAGTTACTTACCATACTAAAACCAACACTTGTTTAATTTCTGTCATTTCTTCATTGCCTTGCACAACACTGATTTCTGCCACTTTTTAGAAGACTTGATCCACACTGTTCCGGTAATCGGACTTGCAGCAAAATGCTTAGCACACAGTACAGCTTCCTTCCCTTCCTCCATTCCCCTTCCCCTGTCCCCCTGGCTCTTACAGTTGTTGCCACCACCTTCTTCTTCCACCATGCAACAGCAGCCCAACCTTCCTCTGGGACTGCAGAGTGACAACTACTGTTCCATGTTTGTCCCCATTGTATTTTTTCACTCCATCCTTGCTGGAGCCAACCCAGTGGTGGTGTTTTGGTCCTTGCCCTTCCTCACTACATGCAAGTACTGTGCACCAACTCAGTGCTTTGCAGTGTTTCTCTCAAATGTTTCCCAGCCATGGCTGCAATGAGATTTCTTCACAAACACAACCAGTGGGGTGTCTGTCCCTTACCCCAAATGGTCCTTCATGGTTTTGCCTCTGCCTATGGTCCTAAGGATCTTCAGTCTGAAGCTGGACTCTCAGAGTCTAATTCAATCATTAAGCTCTTGATGTTTTACACTGACGTACCTCATTTGAAACCCAGGATTCACAGCTGCACAAAGCCAGAAAGGAGAATCAGGCCTACACTATCTGCCTGTATCCACAGACAGAAAACAAGCATTCTAGCTGTGTGACTTTTCTACAAGAGTCACATATTTTAAACAACAGACCAGTTGTCTCCACACCACCAGAAGACCATTGGAATGGGTGAATTGTTCTGCTATCCTGTTAGTAGACTACCGTGGTGTAACAATAGAGCTGAGATTATAATTCCCATTGTCCTTTCAAAATGTCTAAAACTGAAAAGTGACAAGGTCAACAAGGAGAACAATGTTGCGTAAAATCTTTGGGGGATTTGGCAGAAAGGAACTTTGGGTAGGCGGAAACAGCCTGGATGCAGGGAAGAAGGAAAGGGAGGTGCAAGCAGTACTATATTTCCAAATTTATTCATTGCTTAACACACAAACACAGAACCTGACTGAGGACAACATTAAATCTCCTCTCTCACAGGATCAGAGGTAAATATTTAAACCAATTTAAGTAACATTTCTGATGCTTTTAAAAAGTGATCTGTGGCTTGCATGACTCTATAGATAAATTATAACATACCAGTGTTATAGTGCGTTATTCTTTGCCTCATGTTTTTCTAGACGTCAACTCTTAAGAAAACCCTAGGAGGCTAAGGAAAACTGCTAATTCAGGGCAGAACTGATCACAAGAAATAAAATTTTCTTAGGGCAGTAACTGTATTATTAATGAAAATCTTCAGTATGACAAAGGAGTCCCATACTTTGGGTTAGGAACAGGCTATTTTCATTCTGCAAAGGCACAGCACTGCCCATTATCGGGTCAGGGACTCAGAGGATTATTCATTTGCAGAAAATAGAGACATTTCCATCCTGATGCTTTCTTGGTCATGTTCTCCAAAGAAAGGAAATCACTCTTTAGTATGGATTTGGTACTGGCAGCACACTGACTGCCAGAAGAACTGTAGTGGTTTGGCAACCAAACACTCGATTAACACCTGTAGACTACAGAGATTGCCCCACAATTTCTGTAGCTCCATTCCATAGATATACATCTTAATAATAAAAATAATAATAAAACATCTTCTGGCCCCTTTACTGGAAAACAACATGAGGCAAGTACTACTGGGCAGGTATCTTAAAATCTGGAATACTCCTAACCTCGAGGAATCTGCCAGTTTCTAGGGAAAATTAAATTTCTGAAACATATAGAAGGGGTGGTGACTCAAAATCTTGAATAAAACTCCATCAATCTAAAAGCAAATAACAGTTTTGCCATACATGATACTACTCTGAACAAGGGGCTGGCCAGGAAAAGCACACAAGCCTAAGAATTGTGCCTAAATACTTTCTCAGTATCAGCTCTCAATTCTATCCAGATCCAAAATGAACTAGTGGGAAACAGGCGTGTTGTAAACCGATGTACTAAAACTTTCTTTATATTACCCTGGGAACATTAGTTCAATAAATCACTACTTAGGGACAAAAAGGAAAAAAAATCCCACAGCTTACAAATCTGCACATTTTTGAAAACCAAAGGCAGAAAGAAACTCAAAGAAAATTGCAGCTTTACAAAAGAGGACATATCTACAATTATAGGGAAATATTATCTGGATAACAAAAAATCTAAAAGAAATTGCTCCTCCTAACAGGTAGCAAACAGAATCTGTGTGGAAGACAAAACATATAACTAGGCTGTTAGTTTTAGTGGGTGCCAAGGTATTGTGTTGCACATGTAACATTTCTCACTAACATGCACTGCATACATAATTTTAAACATTCAAATAGTACAATTCTGTCTGTTGCCTCTTTCCAGGTTGCAGCAATGGAACTGGTGTCAACATCAGTTGGCAAGTTTACAGTTGATCTTTTCAACAAGCTGAATGAGACCAACAAGGGCAAGAACATTTTCTTTTCCCCTTGGAGTATATCATCCGCTCTGTCTCTGATGTACCTGGGTGCAAAAGGCAATACAGCAACCGAGATGGCAGAGGTAGGTTGCTCTATGAAGCACACACTCCATACAATACCTAGCTCCTGCACCGGCTGCAAAATTTGGTGTTAAATAGAAAAACCTTCCACCACAATGACAAGGAACCAAGGCAGACCAGAGAATGTAACAAGTGAATGGCAAATTTTATTCATTTCATAGCAGCTCCCTCACCTCTCCACTAAGAGAAAATGTCCTGTGGGTATCACACACTGAGCACAGAGGTTATCTCAACCTGACTTCTTCTAAATTATTATACACTTTTGAATTTATCCTGTGATTCTCTGATTCTGACACAGATGGGATATTCCCATGCAAACAACTGATGCCAGTAGCTCCTAACTAATTGGCAGAAGGCTTGTAGATCCCAGCACCCCAACCTTCTTCCCTGGCCAGGAAGCATCTTTCTCTCTTGATTTATGCTTTCCTAAACACCTGCCTGACAATTCAGCAGAAGGCTTTCTTAACTCCACATGCCCCAACCCAATCCCTGCCCTAATCCTGCATGGCCACACTGCTGGCTCAAGGGCTGAAAGGGAGCTGTGGTGCTCAGCACTGCCCAGTCCTCTCTGGGTCACTGCACTCCAGTTCAGATGCCTTTGTAGCATTATGGTGGGGAGAACCATTTGATTTTGGACAAACACATCACTATTGCTGAGAGCAACAGCTGTGGAAGGGAGTTCAGCCTGGCAGCATGAAGACAGGAGAACTGTGTTGACGCTTTGGGAGGGGGACAGTGCTACTCATTGTTACTCTATGGGATTTACATATACCACAGCTTCAGCATCCTTTGATTAGTCACCTAAGCAGCAGATAACACAGTGCATTACCATGTGGAGCAAAACAAGACAATAATTTGATGTACACTTGTCTTTAAGTCACACCAGTTCCCTCATGTCTATTTCTTACCTTTGGCAACTCTTCTTGCAGGTTCTTCATTTTGCTCAAGCAGCAGGAGCTGAAGGCTCTTCTTCTGTGGGCAGACCTTCTCGGGGGAGACCTAAGAGAAGAAAAATGGTATCTATTAGAACTGAAATCCCAAGATAAAGAATATCCAGAATCAAAATGTCCAGATACAGCTGTAGAAGTCCAGTATTTCTTGTATGCACCCCTCTTTACTGTACAAAACCAAACATACTTCACAACAGGTTCAAGTTCAGTTCCTTTCACTCACTCAGACTCTCAGGAGCATGGAAGGACAAGTCACTAGGATAGTCTGGAAGGTTTGCTATAGTGCAGTTAATCCAGTCGTAAACAGAGCCCTGCAAATTGCAGTAATGGTAAACTTGGAAAAATATAAAATAAGAGAGAGGAACCCAAATCACTCTCCCACATACATCACTTAGCACATTTTGAAAACTTCATGCAAAAATTCAATTGCTGAATGTATGATTTCTCTTTCCAAGAATCCTGAGCATAAGCAAGCTGAAGATATTCATTCTGGCTTCAAAGAGCTCCTGACTGCCATCAACAAACCTAGAAACATCTACTTGCTGAAAAGTGCCAATCGCATCTATGTGGAAAAAACCTTCCCACTATTGCCAGTAAGTTAAATCTCAGAGAGGAGTAAGAAAAGATGCAAAAAATATTTCTCATTTTAATTACTTCTCATTAATAGAATGAAGCTGACCCTGTGAATACTGCAGATGGAGAGCCCTCAATTCCAGTGATAACTTAACTGGGAAACAGCAGTGTGTCTGCTCACAGTGTTTAAGGATGCATTGCCCTTTGACTGTAGCAGGGATCCCTTTTCATGCAAAACGGCTTTATTATTGGAACCCGCAACACATACAAATGTAAATGAGACATTAAAATAAGCACGTCCATGGGATGTGCACAGCCTTCCTTGCTTCTCCAAATACAAGTGGGAACAAAAGAAGGGAATTTTCTGTCCTTTGGTTATTTCCTAGCTGTTAGCTCACAGTCCAGCAGAGAGTAACAAGCCAGATCCTGCAGTCCCCTATGCACAAGAAGCTATGAAGTGGTCCATGAGCTAACAACTTCCCTTTGCAACTGAAAAATCTACTATAGTATAGAACTTTCTTTTTCTTTTCTATTTTTCAGAGATACTTACAGCTCAGTAAGAACTACTACAAAACAGAGCCACAAAAGGCTAACTTTAAGACAGCACCGGAACAATCCAGAAAGGAAATAAACACTTGGGTTGAAAAACAAACTGAGGGTAAGCTGAGCTTACAGAGAAAGAGCAGCAGTTAAGCAGCTTCAAACACCTGATCCAGACCTCAGTGAGCTCCTCAGGGAGCCTCACACCGACTCTGGTGTGCTCTGCATCAGCTGGTCCTTAAGCACAACTGCTGCCCTGGTGCTGCACCCATGCTCCACACAGGGGAAAAACACCTCTGCCCACCCGTGTGCTCCAAGGGGGGCGGGGATGCCTACCTGACTGTACCATCCTGCACTTGGAAGTGCTTTGGAAAAGCCAGGAATTTTGGAAGAACACATTTGTGAGTCCCCAAGACGAGGAAAAGAAAAAAAACCAAAAGGTGCTGGCCTCCTGTCACCTGGCACAGCAGCAGATGGCTTTCTGTTTCCAGCTGCTTGCCATGAAGCTGTAACATTTTTCTGGAGAAGGAGTCAATCCCTTTCATCCCGTCAGGAGAACTGGGCAGCAGATAGCTTTGGAAACTGTAAACAGACTAACTGATTTATGTCAGGGGAGTATTTTAGGGAGTAGGGCACTGTGCATGGACTTTTTCACTCAGCAGTTGAACTGACCGAAAAAAACAATCAAAACATGTCCTCACTGTGCTACAATGGAATAAAACCTGACTCTTTTGATTCCAAAAGGCAAAATCAAGAATTTGCTGGGTTCACGAGATGTGTTAAACTCCACCAAGCTGGTCCTGGTAAACGCTATTTACTTCAAGGCAGAATGGGAAGTGAAATTTCAGGCAGGAAAAACAGATCTGCAACCCTTCCGACTGAGCAAGGTAAGCTCCTCTGGTATCCTTCTTACAGTAAACAGCGTGGTGACAACAGCTACTGCTGAAATCTTTCCATTTCCTAAGTCTTTTAGGTACCCCTGTGGTAACTAGACTCTTTGTGAAAAGCTGGTTACTGCAAAACATGTCAGTGCTCAGCTCACTGCACCATTAAGATGCTGCTCAGGTAAATGCTAATGAGCTCCAGATAACAACTACGATTTCCAAAAGCACCAGAGTAACTTAAGACCTTTTTGTAAAACAGTGCTAAAAGGGATAGATTGTAAAAACAGGACTTTGAGAGTCTGAGCTTCATGGATAGGAGCTACATACCATGTACATGGGTGAGTACAGTACCCAGGCCTCTGTGCTGTGCAGCCTACGTAGGTGCAAACATACCTGCTCAAATACAGCTGCAACAGGTACCCTGAATGGGTACATGGTTGGGCAAGACTAGAAGAAACCTCAATGTCATGTTTCCAGAAGAGATGTCAATACATTCACATAAAAAGACAAGAGCTCTGTGCAATTTCCACCAACTGTAGCTTCTGCCTTCTGATCAGCACTTATACATCAGCTGCTTCCCTGAATGAAGGGACATAGAAGCTAAGAGAGGTCACTGCTTGCCAGGAACTCCCCTCATCATGAACCCCTTTTCTCAGACATTAGTGTTATCTTCTGTTGTGACACAAAGAGCAATCAGCTAGTCACTTTTTATTGCCAGAGGAAAGCGACTGCACAAAAACTGCACAACACTTGTCCTCTTAAACCATAGCTGTTTCTCTGCTGCAGTGCTGAAAGGCCATCCCCTGTACCTGCTCCATCCCCCACACCTGCTCCATCCCCCACACCTGCTCCATCCCCCTGATCCTTGCAGACATTTCTAACTCTTTTCCTCCCTCCTCTGCGGGCTGCTAGGCGTGTTCTGGGGAGAAGAGAGAACCAGTCAGCTAACCTCGCAACAAAACGCTCTGGTATAAACACCAAGATAAGCAATATTGTCCAGTCAAGAAAAACTTTGAAAAATTAACAACAGATTGCTGTTATAAAAGCTGCTTACAAATGTTTCCTCTCCCTCCATTGCACTGAGTCATCATCATCCCTCCTTTCAATGAATGATTTCTAACTTATAAATAAATACTTCACAGAACAAGACCAAGCCTGTGAAGATGATGCACATGAGAGATACATTTCCAGTTCTCATCGTGGAAACAATGAATTTCAAAATTATTGAGTTGCCATATGTGAAACGTGAACTCAGTATGTTCATCCTCCTTCCTGATGACATCAAAGACGGCACTACAGGTCTCGAACAGGTAAAAAAGCATTCTACATCCATTTTGTACCATCACCCGGTCATAAAAAAAAAAAAGGACAGGCTGGGGGCAACATCTCCCCCTCTGAGGACATTATGTTTGATCTCCTCCATTAGCCAAATTAATTTCTTCTAATACCTGTCTCATCCTGTTCTTGATGTCCCAAGAAAGTTCCTCCACACTGAGTGCCCTTAGGTTTGGTAAGAACTGAAGACAGTCAACACTGTGCATAATGAGATGTTTAGTGCTTCAACAGCCCCATGCCTGACACCCAATCCTACACAGTCTGTAAGGGTTAAATCTCTTTCACCGCACATTCAGGAGGGACAGTAGTGTACAAGTAGTCACAGCCTCCTCCTGAGATAACATGCATGGAACAGACACCTCTTCTCCAGGGCCTGGAAGTTTATTCACCTTCTTGGTCTCATTCTGTTTGCCTCCACACATTCTCACATTGGTGAGACTGCATTGTCTACAACAATGAGATCTGCCACTGTACTTACTGCAATTACAAGACTGTTAAATTCCTGGCATCTATCATGTCAAGAACACCATTCATTGCTCTCCTCCATCTGATCTGAGCTGAACCCTGGTGACACAGTGCCCAGGATGCAGAATGACAGTGAAAGATCTTGCAGTTTGTTTTAAAATTGCCAAGGAAATATATGCAATATTAACACCTGTTTCTATGGATCTGGACCAAACCACCTGCTGCACAGCTGGCAATCTCCCAGCAATTTACTTCACATCAAGATTGAATTAAAAGAGAGGAAAGAACTACCTCAGGGGATGATGGCAGCTGCAGGTGTTGAGTGCCCTGTCTGTATTTTGCAATGAATTTGGCAGAGGTGGTGCTCAAAACCTTGCAGCATTAAGTTTCAAATGTTTGTTGCACACCCTGCCTCTGATCACCAGTAAAACCGATTTAATATTTCATGCTTTCGGTTAAATGTTAAATTTGCCACACAAAGACTGTTTCATTCATTAAACTGCCATACAATTGATTAATTAATAGTTAATTAATTGCTTTTTTCCTTGCAAAAATTAAACTCCTTCTCTTTTTTAAACGATAGCTGGAAAGAGAACTAACATATGAGAAGCTGTCCGAATGGACTGATTCCAAGAAGATGACTGAAACTCTTGTGGATCTGTACCTACCTAAGTTTACAATGGAGGAGAGATATGACCTCAGTGATAATCTGAGCGCCATGGGAATGCACAGTGCCTTCAGCAGCAATGCTGATTTCAGTGCAATGGCTGAGAAGGGTGATGTGCTGATCTCCAAAGTTTTTCACAAATCTTTTGTTGCAGTTGATGAGAAAGGCACTGAGGCAGCTGCTGCTACTGCTGTAATTGTAGAACTAAGTGCACCTTTTGGCCATGTTCTGAAATTTAAGGCTGACCATCCTTTCCACTTCTTCATCAGACACAACAAATCCAAGAGCATCCTCTTTTTTGGCAGATTCTGCTCTCCCCTAGAATGAGTTATTACTTCCTCCTAGACAGCACCCCAGGTTCACTGTTCAATGGAAAAATGTGAACTGCAGTGTTAAAAGCTCAACCTTAAGCCATGTAGCCATACGCACTGAAAATGTATGTCCTTTTTCTTCCCCTCACTGCTAAGTAAGGCAGCACCCACAGACCACCCTGTGCCTCAAAGACCATCCCTCTATTGCTCCTTCCCATTGTCCTAATGACACAGACCTCCATAGAAAATTGAGTGCAGAATTTTGCTCCCTTGCATCAAACCTACTCTTCTGGCTTTGTTCAAGAGTAAGGTGGAGTCATAAAAGCTCTCTGCAAGCAGGCCATCATCTAGGCCCAAGCTAAGTGCTGACTTCAAGGGAAATTCAGTTCATTCTCTTTAATTTCCCAGAGAGTGAAAAAAAATCCCTAAAAGAAAAAAAAAAAAACAAACCAACAAACAACTCGTGGAAATCTATATGATCTTTTTTCCTCACTGGGAAACTTGTATTTGCATTACAATGAAGTTTCCTTATGTTGATTTCAAATTTAAAGACTGTTGGAAAATAAGAAAATTTAATACAAATCCAGCATAATCTCAAAAGGCCCCTCACCTTCCCCTGTCCCTCCATGTACATACAGACACTTTACATTCATTCTCTCCTGCTCTTGCAGCTTCATGAAAACATGAGGCAGCGAGGGAAAATGGTCCAGCCCTGAACATTTAATTGCTGAATTCTAATCACCTTGCATTTTTTCCTCATTTTTCTAAACTTTGTAGGTTAAGGTTGCTGTGAATTCCAATCAGCAAAAATGCTAAGAAAACTATGAGCAACATGCTTCTTGCTACCTCTTATTGATATGCAATCTAAACCCTCCAGAATTCAATTGTTTCCTCTTTTTAAGCTAATTATACCTGTTTCCTGGCTAATATCTGCACAGTTTCCTTGCTACCTGTATCATTGATCCATGTATGATTTATGCAATGATTTATGATGAATTATGTAACTTATGAGTGCACCTCAGCAAAGACAGTTGTGGTATTGACAGAAACACCAGTGAGATTTTGACTGATGCTTTACTTAATTTTACCACGATCTGCATTTAATCCAATAAATGAACTTGGAGTTGTGTTTGTGTTATTCAAGACACTGACTTACCTGGCTCTCTTAGAGCATCGTGTAAGGTGCAGGGCTGGAGCACGTTTTCATTCTTGCCATTTCAAATCAACCAGCACATCATCCTGATTGACAAAGCTGAGACACTCAGTGTCTTATTTCCACTAGGCTTCAAACAGCCCCCAAAACACTTTTATGCAGCGTGTTATCCTCGACATTTACTAAACATCAAATCAAATCAAACTCTGTGATGAGCAAGTTTTTGCTGAGTCAAGGCATTTGAACTTTTCTTTTTAAGCATTCAGTTTCCCATTTTTGACCACTGTTTATTGCACTGTCAGCCCCTCTGAGACCTACTCAGGAGGCTTGTTTACCTGTCAAAACACACGAGAAATAAGAAGTCTGACTAGAGCCTACAGCCCAGAAAAGCAGCTCCCAAACACCTCTTTTGCCCACGCACAGTAGTGAACAAGCAGCGCTGCAGTGGCAACATCAGCTCCCTCCGTTGGCTTGGGAAAGCAGCAGCTGGGCTTTCCGGTGGCCATGAGGAATAGCACCAAGTTTTGTAGCCACTGCAGTACTCAGTAACCACGTCAGAGAACATTATCCAAGGCAACAAGATCTGAATGCAGGAGGGAGGTACTGTAAAAACATTCACTCTCAGCAAAATACCACCTATAATTACAACTCACTCCACCTCCACAAAAGGTATTCTGTTTGGAAATACATCTCCACCCAATAAAGTATACCTGCATCTTCTTCCCTCTACAAAATGCTGCTTCTAAAGTCAGTGCCCTGCTTTACCTGTAACCCTCAGCTCAGGGTTCAGGTGTCTGTCATCCAGGACCTACGTTGGTGCAGCTCAGTTGTGTGCCATTGACTCAGCTTTACTAAGAATTTTCTTGTTTAGGTGTGTGTGGAAAAGCACGCAAGTGAAGGCCATGCAAAATAAGAAAAGTAAAAACACAAATAGAGAAGTTATTGTCAGGATGGAATAGTCAGCATAGCAAGCTGAAGGCCCCAAGACTTTGAAAACTAAAGAAAGAAGTATCTACAGGAAAGTGCTGAGGTAAACCGCAATACAAACACATTGTGAGCACGGAGTGATTGTCACTTAGTGATTCCACACCTGTCAAAACACAGTAGATTAACATGCTTTCAGTTTATCCTACAATGAAAGATGGGGTTTTTTACCACCAGTGCAAATCTCAGCTTCATAAAATAATCCCTGGCACCTCTGTGGTAGAATGACTTCGTGACAAGCAGAAATGGCAGACACAGCACACAACAATAAAGACAAGGAAGTCTAGAGTGCTGATATAGTGTTAGCGTTCAAGACAAGGACACAGAAAACCCTCTCTGCTTTAGAACTGAAATGCAATTGCATTCGTATTTTTAAAGGTTTTATTTTGCCATCAGTAACAGGCACAAGAAAATCTCTTTTTAAATGCTATCTATAGCCCAATCCTTGAGAGTTCTATTGCAACAGACATGATACTTGGTCTTATTTTCTTGCTGGGGGACATAGCTAAATGGGATTTCCTGCAGAGTTAAAATTGGTAATTTGATTTAGTCTAGCCCTGATTGTAAATTGTGCTGCTTTTTACTAGATCTAACTGAAAGAGAACTGATCTTCAAGAAATGCCCAAATGGCCCACCCAGAGGAGACCATTTACAGAGTACAGGTATGAGAGTATGACATCCAACAGGCAGAAAGATACAACCTCACATCCACGCAGAGGAAGATGGGGATGAAAGATGGCTGCCAAAAATGTTAAAATTACTTCATGCCAGAAGAAAATGACTGGTTTTATCAACAGACTTTCTATGACCATTTGTCAGAGGTAAATCCACTTGAGGTCAACAAGTCAGGCGTTGTGATGCTGTGAAACCTTTTTTCTACCATTCTGGTTGCAGCAATTCGCTGTTTCCTCTCACTATATCTATCTGGCACAACAAAACCAAGAGCATCTCTTCTTTGACCAGTTTGCTCCCCTTTGAAACTCTATTCTCTCTTACTAAACAGGATCTTGCAGCAGCTGGAATATACCACAAAGAGTGTCTACACAGTTTGGGTACCCTTTCTTCATTTTCCTGTATTTTTGGCCAATCATTGTAGCTTGTACTACCACTAACTGTTGTATGGATTTTTTTCCTTCTCCTATTCATTTAGCTAAAAAATAGACAACAGCAGTTTCAGATACATAACAGAAACTTTTCTTTAAACATAATAGTGTTCAATGAATTTCTGAAGCAAGAAAATAAGATGGATATTCCAGACACAAAACCTGCACAAACTTAAAAACAAAATGTGAAAAAAGAGGCACACAGATCACTCTTGAAACCTTGTAGGGCATATGTAACAGTCAGATTCAAAGTGAATATAAGCACAAAAACATAATTCTAGTTCAAAATACGGACTTGTACTCTGTGCTGATGCTTTTTCTGTGCAGGTTGACTGCACGCTGGTAATCGATTTACTCTGCATGTGTCACACTAGCGGGCAGAGGCCATTCCTAACTAACCGTAAATGTAGCAGAAAACACATATAATAATTGCAAAAAAAATTTATCAATGCAGTTTAATCTAAGTCGCACCGATAAGAGCAGAGTAAACCTGCAGAACTGCTAATTACACTGGTTTAAAGTAAAACATTTGTGGACACCTAACTGTTTTGTATTAGACCTTTGCCCATACCCAATTTTACAGATTCTGCTGTTTTGGCCCTCTACTCCAATACAACAAACAGTTTCAGTAAAAGAAATCATTACCATCAGAACTTCCAAGCAGTTCTGCAGCTTTTGGTGGATGATCCAAACTCCCTCAGTCCATCACAGATTAATAAACTCAGTACGTGTAGGGCCTGTAGGTATCTAAAGCACCTTCATCTCCTCTGCTAGTAGCAGCAGCCTCTTTAAACAACAACTCCCAGTTCAAACAAGCCCAGTGTTCACTCTTATTTCATCACTTTTATTTTAGGCAACTGTGTAAATACTTTCTGAGCTGCCTTTGTGATCTTCTGAAACAGAAGGGTAAAAATGTAAAATATCACAAAATAAGGGCTTTATGTGACCTGAGGGCCACAGGTATTCAAATCCTTCCCCTCCCAAATTTAACCACAGGATGAATGAGACTAACAGCCTATTTCAATATTCCCTTTTAGCCATATCTCTGAGATTAGTTTCTGTTCATTTCCCCAGTTTGTAAAGTAAAAATAAAAGGAAGCTGTAAAATTATTTCAACATGTCCCTTGCCAACACAGGGTGGCTGAATTATTTTCTGCAGTTCCTACATTTTTGCAGGTCAAATGCCATGGTTGTGGGTGACACCTGTGGGAGAAAGGTATACTGGCCTTCATGTTTCAGGACATACACCCACTAACAGTGGCCTTGAATTGAAAAGGTTTCTCTCCAAGTTCTGAAAGCAGGTGATAGAGAGAAGTAGAAATAAGTGAGGGAACATGCATACTACTACGAGAAGAGGATGTAGAGCAGAAAAGGGAGGTGCAAACATTTCTGCATTTCCAAAAGTATTCATTGCCTCACAGACTGCCACGGATCCTGACTGAAGACAGATCATAACTCTTCTCATCCTCAGGATTTCAGGTAGTGTAAATATTCATATCAAAATAACTAGCTTTACTTTGGACATCTTAAAAATTCTCATGAAATTCTTTGGAACTGAGTGGTTAAATGAGGGTGTAAAAGTCAGGCAGGGGAAGGGAGTGCTCATTTTTAGTACAAAGTGTAGCTCTTAGGAAAACCACGTGCCAAGGCACAATGGTCAGAATGCAAGCCCAGGTTGGGCAAAGCCTCCAAAGCTTAGGAAGGGTACCTTAATCACCAGGTTACCAGTTGGTTCAGGATCAGAGGACTGAGAACAGGCTGCAGGAGAGAACACACTCCCACTGATCCTGGAATTGAACACACAAGGCAGCATGACTCTAGCATGGTGGTTTGGATGCTCAGCATGTGGTTCAGGTCTCTGCTTTACTAATATCAAACAACTACTGGATCAAGCATCCAGACTTCACCTTTCCCAGGTGACCAAAGTGGCTAGTAGACCAGTGAACCTCACAGAAATACACACAAGTTCTCTCTCTCAAGCCTGAAAAATGCTTGATTGCTCCATGCAGACCCAGTTCAGGTACCCTCTATAAACAGGAGATGAAGATGTTGGTTTGAAATTCTTCAGGTAAAAATGTTCAGCTCAGCCCTGTTCCCTAGATATGCTCTGGGAGTACCGGCACCTCCAGGCACAGCAGTAAGAGATATCTGATTTGAAGGTCCTAAAAATGCTTAGGTATGAGCTCAGCTGCGGGGCATTCACCTCTGAAGCACTCCTGAGAATGCTTCATAGCAGTTGTGAAGCCCTGAAAAGCTTTGAAACCAAGACTCAGATCCCAGAGGCATCTCTAACACTCATGGCAGCTGGCTTTGAGGACTGCAAATTTTGATTTAAGCATGTAAATTGTGGGTGGAGAGAGATTTAAATGTCCAGTTGCTTTTGTTGATCTAATGCTTAACCTTTCACCTGATGCCATCTTACACTGACTTTAGTACATGTTTTAGTAGTCCTTATACGGGTGAAGACAATGGAAATTTCTGAATTTACCCTAATATTTGTCAACAGTATTAGACTGATCTAAAATATGCTAATAAGAAGTACAGGTTTGATCTGGATCCACATATGGAAAATCAGTTTATTCCTGGGGTTGGTTTTTTTGTCTGCTTTGGTTTTGTCCTGTAAAAGCATACTTGGAAAAAGAAGCAGGACAAGGATGGAAAATCTGCAGGTTCTGATAAGCCATCAGAAAACCAGGGAAAATTTGTTATTATTTAAAATGGGAACTACATGGGGTTGTACGTAAGATACAAGAGTTTACTCAAAAAACAGTAATTAACAAATCCAGCTACAGTTTCCAAATGTGAGTTTACTTACAGCAAGAACATATAAAAATCTAGAGATCTCTAGTAGCCTTCAGAGACATGTAGTGAATCCGATGAATTCACCATGCTTTTTTTTTAGCATAGGATAATAGCATAGGAAATTTAACAAAATAGAAAAAAGTTCAAAGCAGCACAGTGAGAAATTATGCTGTTTCACTCCCTCAGAATCAAAGAATTATTCTATGAAACTTAAGAAAATGGGCTTTTAAAACAAGTTTGGTCTGTGAAAATATTTTTAGCTAAAATCGTGCTCGTCTGATGAAGGATAAATTAAAAAGCTGAGGACATTGAGGATTGATGGGGAAGGGAGAAATAATGCAAAAAAGAACTGCTAGCTGACTGTACTTGGTCTCTGTGCAGTATCTGACCCATTACAGGGACAGCCTCACACTGTATTTGAGAGGGTGCAGGCAACCTCCCACTAGCAGCTTTGTGGTTTTTAAAAGAAGTGAAGAAGCAGTTGCAGAATCATAGAATGGTTTGGGTTGGAAGGGACCTTAAAGCTCATCCAGTTCCAACCCCCCTGCCATGAGCAGGGACATCTTCCACTAGACCAGGTTGCTCAAAGCCTCATCCAGCCTGGCCTTAAACACCTCCAGGGAGGGGACATCCACAGCTTCTCTGGGCAACCTGTGCCAGTCATCCCCTCTCTCTGACACTCATTTGTCTCAGGCTGTATCGATGGAGTCTCTCTCAGTGACAACCAACAGCTTCACTGTGGACCTTTACAAAAAACTGAATGAAACTTCCAAAGGCCAAAACATTTTCTTTTCTCCTTGGAGTATTGCAACTGCTCTCGCCATGGTCTACTTGGGTGCAAAGGGTGACACTGCATCCCAGATGGCTGAGGTAAGCTCTGAAATTAGCAGTATATCACTGTACAGATGCTTCTCACATAAACAGCATTACCTTTCTGCTTATGGGGAACACAAAGGAACAACATGGGAGAACAGTGACCTGCCATAATGTTGGGTACAGGAAATAACCCCACTCATGCTGCCAGCAGTCCTGCAGGTCACTGTTCTACTTTATTTCCAAGATCTCCCTACTCTGCACTACCCCTACATTGAGCTTACACTCACAGTTCACAGAGAATCACAAGTAGTCTGCCAGAGGGAAGTTACTGACATTAGAGATTACTGCTGGATTTGCTTGGAACTCTACCTTCTATTTTAATTGCCTTTTGAACAGAATAATTTGCCTGATATAGTGCTCAAATAGTAACAGACAGCTTTATTAGCAAAATTAATACGGAGCTAAGGTAATCTAGAAAAAGGAGTGCTGCAGATCACTGCTTCCAGACCCCAGCTGGTTCTGTAAGCAGTACATCTGCTTTCTCATATGCACAACCCAAGTCAGTAAGCTCTCCTGAATGTGTGCTGGGCTGCACAGGAGCAGTACAAATACCTCTGCTTGTGACATAGCTACTCATATGGACTCACAACTAATGGAGACATACTAGTACTGAAAACGTGATTTAACATATGCCCACTTTAGCAGAACTTTTCAGTCTTGTACTCTTTTAGGTTATAGGCATTTACCTAAACACATTAAATATATAATTTTACACTTCTGCCACAGTAGTAGGACTCTGAATACACTCTTTATTGTGCTTGGTCATGATCTGAAAATAAATTCCATGTAGCCAAGCAAGAATTGACCATTTATCTAAATAAATTCGTATTTGAGCCATGATATTGGGCTACTATTGAGCAGTAAATGTGACTAAAGTCTGTATAATAATAATACTGTTACAGAGACTAAATCAAGAGTAAGGTCTTGTCCTCAGTAATCTTTAATAGACAAAGTGTCATTGGGCATGACTGTTGAATTACCATAGAAAACTAACATAATACATAAACCTCGGGCTTATGTAATTTATCTTCAAAAAAAAATGTCTTTATGAACATTTGTCATCATCACAGGTTCTTCATTTTAACCAGACTGCAGGAGAAAGAGGTTCATCTGAGACAACGAGGCCTTCTCCGGGGAGACCAAGGAAAAGAAAGATGGTATTTACTACAATGAAAGACTCAGAGAAAAAAATCTCTGAGAAAGGGATAGTTTATCACAGCTACTGCTTTAGCCTTCTAACATTTGCTTGTCTTCAGTCTGTATGTACTGTCTCACTTCACTTAGAACTATATATAGAGAGAAAAAGAGCACAAGCAGATAATGTTGCCATAAAACTCACCAACTCAGGCCTTCAAAAGCAGAACTGAGACATGAAGGGCATTCTGATTGGCCCTAATACTGACTTACTTGGTTTTAGCTTGTCTATGGCAATTTCAATAAAACAATTGTCCTAATGTGCTTAGGACAATTCTCTCTCTTATCAGCTCCAGGGGTTTTTTCCTGTAGCGAAAAACAACTACTGCATTCACACCTGACTCCAGCCCTACCCAATAAACTCCCTTCCACCTTTTTCAAGCCTGGACACATCAGGCAAACAGAATTCTCCTTTAAGCTAACGCATGCTGATTCACCCATGTTCATCAGCTCCCCAGAGATGTGCTACCAGGAAGAACTGCCCAGATCTTTTTCATTAAATGAACTCTAGGCTTCTAAATCTCAAGCAAGCCATGTTTCTTTAGCACAGAAACTAAAAGAAAGCTCTAAGAAACCAGATAAGACAAACTGGAAATAAAAGGGGGGAGAGTGTTCTGTCATTCTTTCCCAAAATGGCAGGGGATAGATCTTCAGGATGAACCATTACATCCACATTCCTTTTAGCAACTCACTGACTTTCTGACTTGTAGTAAACTCTGCCTAACCTGGTCCTTCAGACATTTCCCTCCATTACCTCCTCAGTCTCTTCCCATCCCCTTGTAAAACCCAACCTCTCCTACCCTGTGCCCTCTGGCTACCAAATTCCTTCCCAGGTGTCCTTCCCAGCAGCCCATGTCTCAGCATGAGCGAGAAAAGACGAAACCAAGGAATGCCACCTGACCCACCTTCTGACAAGTCATCATGAGTCAGTGGCACAGACTCTCAGTGTCTCACGTGCAGGGCATGCTATTTGCCGTGGGAGAGGAGACTGCACCCCAGCATCTGGAGGGGAGCAGCTGACAGATAGCAGCATATTCCACCATCAGTGAAGCAACAGCTGGCAACTGCTAGCCACCAAGCTCGTGCTCCCTAAAACCATCAACTTTGACATCCAGGACAAGCTCCAAAATCCAAACAGCAACAGCTAAATTCACATGAAACTGAGAAAATCTGAATAGTTGCTAAGTCCATGCCCTGACATTAGTGTCTGTTAGAACAAAGCACCTCCTCAAAAGCTGCAAGGCTGCCTTGATGGGTCCTTGTGACACTAAAAATTAGGCTTGACCAGGACTGAAATGAGGAGATTCAACTTCCTGGGTGCACCATCAGCTGATGTCCCCAAAGGCCTACACAGGACTGCAGAAATGGATCATTGCCCTACAGACAGAAAACAACTTGTCCAGTCATAGACAGTGCTGCAAACATGCAATATATGCAAAAAAGAGTTCCATCCCCCTAAATTCCTTTTTAATTAAAACAATTTGGGCATTTTAAAGAACCACAGCAGGTGGCAATACTTCAGACAGAAAAAAAAATAAATTCTATATTAATTGGTGTCTCTTTCCAAGGACCCTGATCACAAGCAAGCTAAAAACATCCACTCTGGCTTCAAAGAGCTCCTGTCTGCCATCAACAAACGCAGAAGCACCTACTTGCTGAAGAGTGCCAACCGACTGTATGAGGAAAAGACCTACCCGTTACTGCCTGTGAGCTGAACACCTTTACTTAAGAACATTTTGACATTAAGAGGGATTGTCAATGGAGGTGGTAAAAATATTCCAAACGATAGCACTGTGGTTTCAGTGGGAACATGAGGATAGCCATATGGGGCTAGTCTTCCACAGACAGGAGGTCCATTTGCCTCCAAAAGTGGCCAACAGTTTAGGAAGTGTAGAGAACTCAGACAACAGGCACAATACAGCTTTATTCAGTGGCATTCCAATTTTCTCTCTTATGTTCCCTACTCTGCTTTGTAACTCTTAAAATTATATTTTCCTTTTTGTCCACTATTGGGCAGATTTTCTTCATGCAGTTGTCCATTATAGCTTCAACACCTCATTCCTGAACAGTAATAATCACTCTCTGGAGTGTACCATTCACTGGATCATTTATAAATGTTGCAATATATATATATTAATGTAAATATTTAGACCTCTATTTAATAGACTAACTATTTTAGCACAGATCTTAGCACATATCCCTGTGGTAGTCCAGTAGTAGTAACCCTTCACAGGGAATCACACAGAATCACACAGAATCACACAGAATGTTGGGGACTGGAAGGGACCTCGAAAGATCATCTAGTCCAATCCCCCTGCCAAAGCAGGAACCTAAATGAGATCACACAGAAAGGCATCCAGGCGGGTCTTGAATGTCTCCAGAGAAGGAGACTCCACAACCTCCCTGGGCAGCCTGTTCCAGTGCTCCAGTTCTGGAGCACTGGAGCACTGGAACTGGAGCTCCGGGAACATTGATGCTCAGCCTTTGGTGAGAAGTCTTACAAAATGCCTGTTGGTAATCCAAATAGACTGTAGTGGCTCAACCTCCTTACTCATACCCTTCCCCACACCTTCAAAAAACCCCAACAGATTTGTGATTTAGGACTTCCTATTACAAAATGCTGTTGACACTCCTCCAATACATCATGCTTATCCATATGCTCACTAGACCTATTCTACTCATTCACCCCACACAGACTAATGAGTTTGTAATTACCTGTATCTTTGAAAGCTTTTTAAAAATTGATGTATTAATCATCTTACAACTTCCTGGAAGGTGGTTTAAAATGAGATTATTGTTCTTTGATCTTGGAGTTTGTTTTGATCTCCTGAGTACTTAGTAATTTGTCTTTCTGAATGCTTATTGCTCATTTTGTCCATAATCTCATGTACCTACGCTTCATAGAGAATCTACAGAATTTCCTGCTGGCAATCTCCATTAACTGTTTCACAGCAGGCAGCAATGCAAATGTTAATTCTGCTTTTCTGCCATGACTTTATTCTACCAGAACATTCCCTTTATACCTGACCCTCTATTGTCCTCAGAAACTCTTGGCAGGTTCCTTGCTTCTAAAGCAAACTAAAAACCTTGTTTCAACTTTGTAGGAGACTACCCTTCCCCCTTTTACTGAACTCTACATTATAAAGCAGGAAAAAAGTATTTAAATTATATAAAATGTCATTTTGAGAAATTAAAAAAAATGTGAAGAATGTTTGTTTCATGGGATATTTCAAAAATTACAAATTTGCACTGTGGATTTCAAACATAAAAATCTGAAGTATCAGTTTCCTGGGGACTAAAGTTTGATCAGTCATTACCTAATATTTAGCACAGAATGTATCAGACCTTATTTTAAGGGTCATCCCATTTCAAACAAGTTATATTTTCTGCAATTATATATTTGCAGATTGTGTAATTTGTTGAAGTTATTATTTCTAACATTTTTATAACTCAACTTTAACTAAATAAGCATACATTTTTGAATTCTATCTTTCAGAAATTCTTACAGTTCGTTACAAGCTATTACAGTGCAAAGCCACAAGCTGTAGACTTTAAGACAGCTGCAGAACAAGCCAGAGCACTGATCAATACATGGGTTGAAAATGAAACTGAGAGTAAGTACCAGTCTGATGGCTTTTTCCTCATCTCACTTTCAAATAATTTTTATTTCCACATTTATTACTCTTGCAGCCAAAGATCCATAAGAGATGGAAACTCAGGGGAGGTATGAACAAAGTGCAGTTAAATGGCTTGAAGAAGGCCTCTCTCCAAACCTAACTGCTGCTCCTTACATGGTCCTTCCCTTGAGTTTTCATGCTGTAGCCTCTTCTCAATTATTTCTGTTCAGAGAGAGGCACGGGTAGGTGGAGCAGCTCCACTCTGATTAGTGAGGGTTTCACTTCTGCATTCTTCAGCTGCTTGCAACCAATTTCACAGAACATCCAAACTTCTTCACTCTACCCACTTTCCAATGCCATTTACTAACAAAATTGCAATAAATATATATTTTAAAAATATAGAGAGATACTTCAAAAGCCATTTTTACCATATGTATACTATGAAAAATGTACAGTAAAAAATCTCGCAAATGCTAACATTTTTGCCAGATAGGGAGGCACAAAGAAGGCACAATTAAAACTGGCAAGTCACACAGTCACGCTGGAATAACAATCCTATTTGTCTGATTATGAAGGGAAAATCCAGGATCTGCTGCCTGCAGGATCTCTTGATTCTCGCACTGTACTGGTCTTAGTAAATGCCATTTATTTCAAAGGAAAATGGGAAAAGAAATTTCTGGAGAAAAATACTTCTGAGACACTCTTCAGACTGAGCAAGGTAAATTCCTTGTCTATATGCCTATTGTCATATGTCAATATGTCTATTACCGATGAGCAAGAAACCACTAAATATTTCACTGTCATTTCGTATGGCACTGCAACACTACTCATAGTGGTATAAACTCAGTGAGAATGGCAAATATGAAAATGTCAGCATTATCTTATTTACACATATCCATGAGAATATTATTTTCACTTTAATTAAGAGCTCTTCAGTATCGAAACACTTGAGAAAACCATGGTTAAGCAGCTAAAGTATAAGAGGAAGTTTCCGTAAGTACCAAGGTCTCATTTTCAAAAGGGACTGAGTTGCTCTTGAGAGCAATGCTTACACACCTACCTCTCTTTTCTGTTTTTGAGACACAGTCTATACTCTGAGTTCAAGGAAACTGAACCAACTGCTCTTTCCCCACGCACCCTGGGCGTTGCATAAAACCTCAGAGGAAATTTTCATGGGAGTTCGTCATTTTAGCTGAGTGCGTGAGGATGATTTATTCCGTATACACTGAGGGCACATTATTGAGCTAACAGCATTTAAACCATCATGCCCTGACGATTCACAGTAGCTGACTGCATGCATATTTTTGGACTGAGTCAAAGGCAAGCAAAATTATTTGTCAATGGAAGCATATATCTTGTTTGACACAGATTACGAGGGCAAACACATTTTGTATGCCAGGCAATGCGATGTGACTGTGTATCTGAAACCTACTATGCTACATGTGCGGTTTTAGGATCTCTCATGGTTGTGGTGGGCAGACCCCGGCTGGCCGCCAGGCCCCCACCAAACTGCTCTAAAACACCCTCTTCTCAACAGGACTGGGGGAGAAAAAGAGGAAGAAAAGCTCATGGGTTGAGATAAGGACAGGGAGATCATTTGCCAATTACCATCACGGGCAAAACAGACTCGGCTTAGGGAAATTCATTTAATTGATTGCCAATTAATCAGAGTAGGATAATGAGAAATAAGACCAAATATAAAACACCTTTCTCTCACCCCTCCCTTCTTCCCAGGCTCAACTTCACTCCCAAGTCTTCTACCTATCTCCCAAAGCAGAGCAAGGGGATGGGGAACAGGGGTTGTGGTCAGTTCATAGCACTTTGTCTCTGCTGCTCCTTCCTCCTCTCACTTTTCCCCTGCTCCAGTGTGGGGTCTCACTCACAGGATACAGCCCTTCCCACAGGCTACAGTTCTTCAAGAACTGCTCCAGCATGGGTCCTTACCGTAGGGTGTGGTCCTTCAGGAACGGACTGCTCCAGCACGGGTCCCCTGCAGGGTCACAGGTTCTGCCAGTAAACCCACTCCTGAGTGGGCTCCTCTCCAAGGGGTCACAGGTGCTGCCGGAAAACCTGCTCCTGAGTGGGATCCTCTCCACAGGGTGACATGTCCCGCCAGGAGCATGCTCCAGCATGGGCTCTCCATGGGTTGCAGTGTCTTTCAGCACACATCCACCTGTTCCAGCATGGGGTCCTCCACGGGCTGCAGGGTGGATATCTGCACCACCATGGTCTTCACCAAAGGCTGCAGGGGAACATCTGGTGTCTGTGTTGTTTTCTCTCTCACATTTTCTTACTCTTCTCTCCCAGATGCTGTTGCACAGCAGTTTTTACCCTTTCTTAAATATGTTACCACAAAGGTGTTACCAATGTCGCTGGCTGGCTCAGCTTTGGTCAGTGGTGGGTCTCTCTCGGGGCCGACTGGAACTGGCTCTGCCTGACATGGAGGCAGCTTCTTTTGTCTCCTCACAGAATCATCAATGCAGCCTCCCTGCTACCAAAACCTTGCCACGTAAATGCAACACATTGGTGCACAGAGAGGGTTTAATTCACAGGGTACCCAATACAAAGCCTGCAAACAGATAAACTTTTGCACTCAAATGTAACTCACATGTAAAGGCCAGTGGATATACTAGTAAAAGCTCTGTGAACATAATACAGCAGAAGACTTCAGAAGCCTACTGAGTAATCCAATTCCATTTGGTAATCTGGTCCTCTATGGTTTGAGGAAAAACCAGCACAGGTCACAAAAAATATGGTTCAGAGGGCAAAGTGAGACAATGAGTATTGCCCAAAAATATAAAATAAGCAAAAGAGTTGATGGCATCCAAGGGAATAATTTTTTCCACCCAAAGTCCTCACTCCAAAAATTTAATATTTGTGAGAAAACATGAAACACTTATAGTAGTTACTTGCTAATCAACGCTAACTCCTTTATTTTAAAATGAGAAATTTAATTCATGTGATTCAGTTAGCAGGTAGATACTGTATGTGTCTATGATGATTTTTTAAAGATCCCAATGCCTTTGAAAAGGGCATATATGTGGTACTGTCCAAAGGAAAGGGTACTGAGTACACAAGTGCTGCTGAGTCTTGTACTTGTTTACAGTTTTCTTTCAGTTCAATGAAGTGAGTCATCTTTATCATCCATTTTAAGGAACAAAGTAACACTATTTTTTGTCTGAATTTTTTCACAGACCAAGACTAAACCAGTACAGATGATGTTTCTGAGAGACACGTTTTTGATACACCATGAAACAACCATGAAATTCAAAATCATTGAGCTTCCATATGTGGAAAATGAACTCAGCATGTTTGTTCTCCTACCAGATGACATCAATGATAACACTACTGGTCTGGAGCTGGTAAAACTGACGTACTGTTACATAGCATACACTATGAGACAGTAACAGAAACAGATGAAAGGAGCGAGGAAGAACAAGCTTCCAAATCAGGGTAGAATAGGTTCTCATGTGTGCACTTTGTTTCATAAACTGTAACACCACAATTTCTCAGTTTAGGATTCGGGGCATCTGATAAAATTGCAAACATGGTATTTTACTCAGGGATACACCCAAAAAGTACATCCACACAACTGTCTTAGCCCATTTGGTGTCCCCTTTTCTATTGCTAGAATAGCACAAGGAAAGCAAGGACCAAATCTGAATCACTGTGCCTTAGGTTTATCCTCTTCATTTTTATGTCATTTGCAGTTTGAATTTGCATCTGATATTTTGTGGTGACGTTTCTCAAACTAAGTGCTGACTACCCTGACCCAGAAGGCATCAATAACCACTCATGACCATGCCAGGATCAGTTTCAGATTCTAAACAGATCAGGGGCAAACATGTTTATATTTGTACCTGAAGTCCCATGTGTTCCACTTATTTACCGCTAAGAGAAAAGTCATCCATATGCACACATAGCAAGCACCTATTAGATTATGAATCACACATTGCAAAAAAGCAATACTTTTCATACCAGAAAAAAAAAAAAATTAACTACTCCAACAGTTCAGGTCTTCAAGGAAATAGAATGCAAGTCGTTGATAGTCTGATCTCACGCTCATTACAGGTTGAAAGAGAGCTGACCTATGAGAAACTGGCTGAATGGACCAAATCAGCCAGCATGATGAAAGCTGAAGTGAATCTGTACCTGCCCAAGCTGAAGCTGGAAGAGAATTATGACCTTAAATCCACTCTGAGCAGCATGGGGATACGAAATGCTTTTGACCCTGTTCAGGCTGATTTCACAGAGATGTCAGCTAAGAAGGATCTTTTCATTTCAAAAGTTATTCATAAAGCTTTTGTGGAGGTGAATGAAGAAGGTACTGAGGCAGCAGCTGCCACAGGTGTCCTGGTGCTGAGATCAAAACCACCAAAAATGACTTTTAAAGCTGACCACCCCTTCCTCTTCTTCATCAAACACAACAAGTCCCAAACCATCCTCTTCTTTGGCAGACTCTGCTTACCCTAGTCAGTTACTCCTTTCCCTGCAGAGCACGAGACACTCAATTTCCAACTCAGAGGCAAACACCAAAACCTGAAACTCCTGCTGCAACTGGGGGGAGTGGGACCTGAACCCTTTCTCCATCAGACCACACAATTGAGGGGCTGAGGCACAGCTCCTCCTGCGCTCCTCTCCTGCCCCAAAGGGACAACCATGGCAGTGGGGAGTGCACAATGCCTTGGATCCACAGAGCAATCCTGGTTGCCATTCAGACCAGGTCATTGAGGGTAGCTCTGTCCCCTAACCACTATTAGCTATGCCATTTCTTTCCCTTCCCCTCATGGCAGTGTGTACAAAGATATGGTAAAGCAGGTCCCCTCCTCACCCTCATGACTAGAGCCCCTGATTCAGGTGTGGTCTCAGCACCTACTCCCACCCCAGAGCAGTTAGACCCTGCTGCCATTTAGCCCCTCATTAGATCCTTGCATTGCAAATGGTGACAGACCCGCCCTCCTAAGGCCTGGGGCCACTCCCTTGCCTTCCTTCCACAACCCAGCTGTAAGTCATCACCAGTTCCCAATTTCACCTCAACTGGCCTCACATGACTCTACTGATTCCTTAAAAAAATAATAAATTAAAAAATACATCTCTGTGAGGGCTATTTGCCTCGCGCGGACCTCAGGTACGTGGGAAGAGACCAAGCCCGTATAGCCTCTGGCTACAGCAACACCTCACTTGCGTTCAAAACAACCTGCGCTTCAAAATTAATTAATTAACAATAATAACAACCCCTCAGGAACTGGTGGTGTTTTCTGTCAGCTCTGCCACGAGAGGGAGGCAGAGGTGGAAAATCATCGGGTGCGGCGAGGCAAGACCCGCGCAGATATAAAGGGGGGAGCACGGAGGGGCTGTGAGGGCTCT